GGGGCCAGAACTCCAGAAGCCCTCCCACTGTGGCCCCTCAAGGACCAAGAATACAGAGCATCACTGCCCCAGACAGAGTGCTCCACCTATACCTTGTGGCTAATGGCCACTCATGGACCTCTGCTCTGTACGTTTATCCAATCCCCTCTTGAAGCTATGGTTGTAGCTGCCACTACCTATGGCACTGAATTCCATGAGTTATTACTCTTTAAGGACTTCAAAATCTGTCTTTTCAGCCATGAGGACTAGAAGCTTATTTTTAAAACAACACAAAAAAACCTTTGTCATTGTGAGAATGATTATCTATGCTCTCCACTACACACTGTCAACTATCCCCGCTCGTGCCATAGAAGCTCGCTGGGTGACCTTGGGCCAGTCACACTCTCTCAGCCTAACCCACCTCACAGGGTTGTTGTGAGGACAAAATGGAGGAGAGGAGAAGGAAGTAAGCCGCTTTGGGTCCCCATTGGGGAGAAAAGTGGGGTATAAATGAATTAAATTTAGTGTAAATTGGGTGTAGTGGTTAAGAGTGGCAGACTCTAATCTGGGGAACCAGGTTTGATTCTCTACTCCTCCACATGCAGCTGTTGGTGTGACCTTGGGTCACTTACAAGTTCTTCCAGAGCTGTTCTCTCACGAGCAATTCTCGAAACAGCTCTCTCAGCCCCACCTACCTCATAGGGTGTCTGATGTGGGGAGAGGAAGGGTAAGCCTCTCTGAGACTCTGAGTGAAGGGCAGGGTATAAATCCAATCCTCCCACCCCCTCCTCCTTCTTCAGTAATAAGAGAAGAAGAGATTGGATTTATACCCCGCCCTTCGAAGGATTCTCAGAGCAGCTTACAAACTCCTTTCCCTTCCCCTCCCCACAACAGACACCCTGTGAGGTAGGTGGGGCTGAGAGATCTCTGAGAGAACTGCTCTTTTCAAGAACAGCTCTGAAAGAACTTGTAACTGACCCAAGGTCATCCAGCAGGTACAAACCCAATTCTCCCAGATTAGAGTCCGCGCTCCTAACCACTACACCAAACTCACACTTGCACAGAATACAATACACTTAAACCTCTTACTACATTCTGTTAACTGCTCTGTGATGTTTGCAGTTGGAATTGGCACTACTTCTTTAAGAACCCAGGCCAGCAGAGTAGTACACACAATCAGGGGAACATATTGTAACATTGCACCATGAACAGAACATCCAGGTCTCATCCTATGTACCTTCCTGCTTTGTACCACCTTAAATTTGTTCCCTTGAATACCAGGCACCATTTGCTGCCTTTGCAGAGAAAGGACTTCACCTCCTCGTAAATAATTATGTAATTTTGGCAGCTCTCCTAGACTGATGGTGGCCTCATTTGTTGTGCTGACAGTATTTGCCATAAATCCAGTCAATCATCATTTCCTTTGAGTTACTTGGGAGAGAGCGAGGACAATAAAGCCACGTGCCAGACGCACAGGAAAGCAATGGTCCAACAGCTCGGAAAAGCTAGAGCTTCATCTAACTCCTCACAAAGAAAGCATAAGGTAAAGGTAAAGGTTCCCTTGCTCGAAAGCCAGTTGAGTCCGACTCTAGGGTTGCGGTGCTCATCTCTGTTTCAAAGCCGAAGAGCCAGCGCTGTCCGAAGACGTTTCCGTGGCCATGTGGCCGGCATGACTAAACACCAAGGCGCACGGAACGCTGTTACCTCCCCACTGAAGTGGTACCTATTTATCTACTTGCAATTTCTTGCTTTCGAACGGCTAGGTTGGGCAGGAGCTGGAACTAGAGACGGGAGCTCACCCCGTCATGCGGCACACTCGGGTCTCGAACTGCTGAACTACCGACCTTCCACAGCCTGCAGTTCAGCGTCTTACCCACTTGAGCCACCGCAGCTCCTTAAAGAAAGTATACAACTGGCCAGATTCTTCACCTCCAAAGCAATGATCCTGACACGGAATAGAAAGATCCAAAGAGCAAACTGCTCAGCAAAACAAAAAAAAACCCCACAGAGATACACGCATCTGCTGCAAAACACGAGCCGTGAGAAGGGCACCGCCAGCAACAACCCCAAGATGATGCACTTCTGTGGCGTGGCTTGCCACGGATGGGGGTGGGGGTGGGACAGAGCCCCAACGTTTAGGAAGGGATTATGAATGCTGAGGTTAGTTTCAGGCGGGCAGCTCTGTTGGTCTGCCATGGAAGAGCAGGACTCAAACCCAGTAGCCCCTTAAAGACCAACAAGATTTCCAGGGTATAATCTTTCAAGGGTCAAAGATACCTGACAAAGGGAACTATGACTCTCAAAAGCTTTTACCTTGGAAGTTTTCTTGGTCTTTAAGCTGCAACTGGACTCAAATACGGGCCCTGGGGGTTGGCAGAGAACTGGCCACTTCACTGGTACTGGAGCACCCAAGATATTCTGGAAGAATTCTAACTCCCACTCTAGCAGGTCGTGTCTCTCCACTCGCTGATAATAATTAATAATTATTATTATCACATGGCATTGTGTATCATATAGCCAGGAGACCCTAAGTTTGTCTGGCAGCCAGAAGTTCTAGGTATTATGTGTGGTATAGCCAGGAGATCCTAAGATCATCAGGCAGTCAGAAGTTCTAGCTCTTTTCAGTGTTATGCACCACTAAGTGGCAAACTAGACTTGTTTCTTAGGCAAGAGGCATTTCAGAGGTGACTTGCCGATTCCTGCCTCTGCGTCACAACCCTAGCATTCCTTGGAGGTCGCCCTTCCAAGTACTAGCTACGGCTGACTTTACTTAGCTTCCGAGATCTGACCGGATCAGGCTAGCCTGGGCTATCCAGGTCTCCACGCCCTTCTCCCCCCCCTAATCGAGGAAAACAGATTTGCCGTTTTCATTTCTGTGCGTCTTGCACTACCGTCAAACGGCCCAAGAAGTCCCCCTTGTCACTGGCCCACACTCCTCCCCCTGACTACCCCAAAGCAGAAAAATTCATGTCCCAGTTAGACTTCATCCTTACCTCCATGATGGGACTGGACGCCAAGACCTTCTCTTCAATATTGGTTTCGCTGGAAGAGCCTCCGACAGATGCAAAGAACCGCATAGCATATTTGGCCGACACTGTTTTCCCGGCACCGGACTCGCCGCTAACTATGATGGACTGGTTCTTTTCATCCCTGTATGATGAAGAATGAGGCAGATGTTAAATGGATCTCTTTACATTCCCCTTTTTTTGTTGTTGTTCCCTTTGCCTACTTTAATGGATCGTTTGGTTTACCAATTTACACCGCCTGCCTCGACGCTTTTTGGAATGGGTGTTCTTCAATTTGGGGCAACGGCCGAATTAGTATGCAGCATCCTGAAAACCTCCGTGTCCACTTGTTTCCAAGTTCGATTAGCGATGTTTTGGCTCTTCAGCCGAGTCCAACGCTGCACTTTAAACCAGTCAAACGATCATAAAAATGAATCCCTCATTTGCAACCATTATGGAATATCATCTTCACGCAGACGGCGTGGGGTTTTTGGAAAATATTTGCTTTGATCTACTCAGCCAAATGAGAAAACGCCATGACATTACAGATAACCGGGTAGTCTCTGCCACTGACCAGAAACTCAATCTTCCCTATTAAAGGCGAGTATTGAGTTTCCCAGAGCAGGATGGAAAAGCCAATTATTCTGAACCTCCTGATAAACGGAGCAGCTTAGCGAGTCCTGACCTAAAGCCTTTTCGCCGCAGACACTCAGTAAGTTAGTTGTGCATAGCAGTTTCCCAACACTTCTGTTCTGGCAGAACGAAGTTCAAGTCCAGTGGTTCCTTTAAAACCAACAAGGTTTTAGTCAAGGTATAAGCTTTCATGTGGGAGCGGTGGCGCAGGTGGTAAGTGAGGCCTGTATTACATCTGGCCGAGCAGCTTTGGTTGTTCGAGCCCCACCGCGGTCGGAGTGACAAAATGGCTGCTTTGGAAGGTGGACTGTATGGCATCATACCCCACTGAAGTCCCTCCCCTCCCCGAACCCGGTCCTCCTCAGGTTCCACGCCCCCCCCCCCAAATCTCCTGGTTTCCCAACTCGGACCTGGCAACCCAAAGGTAGTGTACCCGTGAAGTAAATTAATAATAAAACAAATAGTTATGAAGACAGACTGTTATGTTTATGGTGTATTTGAGGTTTCACTGCCTTAATAAATCCTACCCCCTCCTCATGATTAGCAGAAGTATGCACAAATTTATTTATTTATTTTATTTCATTTATATCCCGCCCTCCCTGCATGCGGGCTCAGGGCGGCTTACAAAGCATAAAGGTGTAATACACACCACGAGTTAAAAACAATTAAGGCACGCAGTGCAATAAAATACAGTTAAAACCATTTAAACACAGTGGACACTCCCGGATCCATCACGACTAACGTGCTCACTCCCTATTGCACATCACATTGGGGTCAATGAGGGGGATGCCGTGGGCAAATAAAGCAAAACATCACAAAGCATGTTTAACTGGCCAGATTTATACAGCTCACAGAGCTGTCTTTATACAGAGCTGTCTTTATGTCGGAGTAGAAGGCTATCATACTCCCCATAACGTATCATTAGAAATCCCCTCCTTTCTCCTGGGCCAAAAAAACAGTCCAGACAGACAGCACTGGAACAGGATTCTGTTATCAAAGTGTACCTACATCCCTGGCTTTAAATCAATCTTGAAGCAGGGTTTTTAATGCCTCTTCAAACAGAACAAGCTCAATTCCAGAGAATAGACTGCGGGCAACAGAACTGATGTGACGCTACAGAGGCTTTTTGCAGCGTTATATCAACTCCTGTCTATTTTCCCTCGCAAAAATGTTCACTGATTTACCGAGTCCTCAAAGCCAATGTGATTTGCCATCTCACTTTATGATGTCATCTCGTTCATGATATGGTCCCTGACTGGATGGAATTATTCATGTGGCTGATCTCGAGAGGAGGAAGCTAAAGCAGTCAGGCAGAAAACCTGGCACTAGGGGAGCAGCAGCCTCTGGTTGCCAGCCTCCAGGCGGGGCCTGGAGACCTCCTGGGATTACAACCGATCTCTGGACCAGAGGGATCAATTCCCCTGGAGAAAATGGCTGCTTTCCAGGGTGGAATCCATGGCATTATACTCTGCTGAGCTCCCTCCCCTCGCCAGATTCCACTCCCAAATCTCCAGAAATTTCCCAACCCAGAGATGGCAACCCAACCCCAAGCCAAACTACGCTAGTGTAACAGTTCCTCATGACATGTGTCAGGTGGACTTTATGCCATTCGTTTTCGCGGAAGACGACAGTTCGTTTCATCACAGTTAAGCATGTGGATAAAGTTGTGTCTCCTGAGAAATCTCGCCGCCCAGGCCACCCCCCTTCCCGCACCGCCCCCACGGGGCCACCCCTTTGAAGTTACCGTTGCCGCAGCAGCTCCGCACTCCAACTGCACTAATGAATGAGATGAATACTTGCACATCTGGGTGGGTTTTTTTTAAAGGGGGGGGGGTTTCTGTTTCACCAAAACTGCTATTTCTTTTTATACAAAAGTACAGACAGAAAAACATTTTGGGCTGCTCTACCAAGACAAAAAACAAACAAACAAAAAATATTGGCTGCAGAAAACCCTCAGGGGTTACGATGATGTTTCCCACATATCATACGCTATTTGATTTTTACCCTCATTGCCCAGAGAGCTCAGAACAGTGAGTATGGGTCCCTCTCACCTTCACAAACACCCTGTGGGCTAGGTTAGACTGAGGGGGAGAGAGAGACAGAGAGACAGAGACAGAGAGAGACAAAGAGAGAGAGAGACAGAGAGAGACAGACCCAGACCTAGCCCAAGATCTGCAAACGACCTTCATGGCAGAATGGGGATCAAAAACCAGTCCTCCCCCAAAAGTCAGATTCTGTAATAGGTTTGCCAACCTCCAGGTGGTGGCTGGAGATCTCCTCAGATTACAACTGATCTCCAGGCGATAAGAGATCAATTCACCTGGAGGAAACGGCTCCTTTGGAAGGTGGACTGTATGGCATTATACCCCACTGAATTCCCTCCTCTCCCCAAGCCCCGCCCTCCTCAGGCTCCACCCCCAAAATCTCCTGGTACTTCCAACCCGGAGCTGGCAACCCTACTCTCTAACCACACTGGCTCTTTAATCTACAGTGCCACAACCTTATTTCATAAGGAAGGGTGCAAAGCAAATATATAAGAGACACACAATAAGGCAAATGCCACACAAGCATCAGCAGGCCACGTCCAGCCATAAGCAGGTAGTTTAAAGGAAACAGAATGGAGAACAGAGCCAAGTCACCCCTGCTTGAGAAAGCCAAGATGGCTGCCGCAAGGAACCTCTGTGGTGATAAAACTTAGGGGGGAGGGAGGAAAAAGGCAGCTATCGCTGGAGACCAACCAAAGTACATGCTCCGGAGTCTGTTTCTCCCTTCCAAATGCAAGAAACAACCAGGATTTGAATCAGGAGGCTCTTGGGCCTGTCTTTGAGCATTTCTTGCCTGGGTGACAGAGACTTTGTTCCAGAATCTTGGCTTGTTTCTCCACAGTCTGATGATAACCAATTTGTGTCACACACAGCCCCGAGTCTGTCCCCTTCAGCCTGACTCAATGTCTATCCCAGCTTCGCACTGAATGGTTTCCTTAGTTTAGACCCTGGTTGCTGACTAATCAGCTTCTGGACTGAGTCTACTGTGGATCTGGCTGTTAGACTAGCCAGTTTGTAGGTAGTGCAGTATAGTGGTTAGTGTTAGATCGCCGCTAACAAAGATCCGGAGAGTGATTTCAGCAAAGTGAATCAGCTTTATTGAAGTAACGAACAAGCGCTTGAAAGCATTCATAACCAGAACAGATTAACATTGGGAGCTAGGCTCCTTTTAAACATTCCCGGGCTAATGTAACCACGCCTATTTACATTTAACAACCAATGAGATTGTGTGGATAAGGACCAATGAATGTTCTTCCCGCTCAGGGAACAGTTCCGCTGTGATTGGTCGCCGTTTTGGAGCGACCAATAGTGTGTTAGTGTTGCTGGAGCCTCGGCTGGCTCGAAGCTTAACATGGGAGGTGAATTAGACGATTCATGTAATACTTTCAATACATTACAGTTAGTGTAAGATATGGGAAAACCAGATTTGAGTCCCCAGGATGACACAGAAGCTGACTGGGTGACCTCCGGCCAGTCATACACTCTCAGCCTAACCTTACTCACAGGGTTGTTGAGAGAAGGAGAGGAGAATTTATTTATTTATTTACTATTATTTTTTATTTATAATCCGCCTTTCCTGCACAGGGAGGCTCAAGGCGGCGTACAACAGGTTAAAATACAATAAAACACAAATGCATGAGTGCAATACTATAACATTCACATAACAATATACATACAAAGTGCAATTAAGTGCAGGTGGCGATTGCTGTCTGATGGTCCAATATAGCTAAACCAGTATCCATAGTTGTTGTTAGTGCCAATAGCATAAGGACTGTAGCAGTTCAGTTTTTAATAGCTTATTTCTCAGTGGGGGCTCCTAATCGAAGGCCTGGTGGAAGAGCTCCGTTTTACAGGCCCTGCGTACCACTAGTGTGGAGCCACCACTGAGAAGGCCCTAGCTCTGGTAATGGCCAATATGGCGTCTTTCGGACCAGGGAGAGTCAGGCAATTTTGTGACCCTGACCTCAGTGCTCTTTGGGGCACATGTGGGGAAAGGCAGTCCCGCAGGTAGGCAGCCCTTGACCATATAGGGCTTTAAAGGTCAAAACCAGCACCTTGAAGCGAACCCAGTATGCTACTGGCAGCCAGTGAAATGCCTTCAGCACAGGCCAGATGTGCTCTCATGTAGAGAGGTAACCTGGTCTGGGTCACCACTGGGGAGAAACATGGAGTACAAACGAAGCAAAATAACACAAAATAAATAAAATCAAGATTCTTGCTCAGCCTCTCAAATACTCAGGTGAACACACGTCAGCACAATAAGATGCTTTGTACTGAATCAGACCCTTGGCCCATCAAAAAGCCAGTACTGTCTGCTCAGTCTGGCAGCGGCGCTCCTGGATCTCAGGCGTTGGCGTTTCACATCACCCACTACAAGATTTTTTAACTGGCAATCCCAGGGATTGAACCTGGGACCTTCTGCGTGTCGAGCAGATGCTCTACCTCGGAGCCTACGGCCCTAGCTGAC